AAAAAAAAGACGGTTCTCGGGAAACACAAGAGATGAAAATAATTATGCAAAAATAAATAAATAAAAAAAGATAAACAATAAATTAAATAAAAAGGAAAAAACAAAATCATTAAACGTCTCCTCCAGGGAATCGATCCCGCTACCGTCAAACCTACATTGGATTTGCAAGCGGCGCCTTAACGCGGTGCGCCACTGGATCACTCTCATTTACATAATAATAGACCACTTGACACTTTCACCGAATAGACTACCCCAATTTGACATTATACTTTCGATAGTTGCCTAGTTAGTGCAAGGGGTTATCCATCAGTGTCTAGGGGCCGGATAGCTTCTCCCTCACTGGCTTTTTAGTTAGCGCGAAGTTAGGACCAATTATCGGGATAGCATGGAAGAGCCRAAATCTCTAACCGGAATGTAAATCGATTCGACGCCTCAGCTTCACAGAATGTCTAGGGGGAATCGYCCCAATATTTTTTCAATTCTTTGGCAGGGGTTCGAATCCCAGGATGTTCGCTATTTTTTTTCTTCGGTTCTTTTCTTCTTCCTTTTTCTTTTTTCTCCTTTCTTCCTTTTGGTTTGAAAGTCTTTGAATAATTATCACTCACTACCTTAGTACAATTTTTCTTCATTATACAATTAAATATATGACGTTTGTTTTACTGGCAAAAAAAATGATGCGCCAAAGGATGGAAGTTAACACTAAATGCCATTTTGTTTCACTATATTTGCTTTATTCATWAGTATATTACAATTTTGAAAATAAAATTCATTCATATGTACAATTCTTKTTAATTTTTGTTTGAAATAATTGCAATTATTCTGACGTCATTGGAACAGTCTTCAAGCACGTGCAGCCACACCCAGTTGGACAGACGGACATGTTCTCRAACCACTGCATGATGTGAAATGTATGTCCGCCATGACCACAAGCCATGCAAACATTACTGGCACCTGAAAGAAGAAACACGAAGAAAAAACATGAATACGAAGAACCAGCAGAGCAAGACTGATCATAAAGGTGAAGAGAATCCAACCTTGTTCCCAGGCCCGACCTCAAGGGAAGGGATAAGGCCTTGGGAAAGAGGCTGAAGAGGAACAAGAAGAACAAGATGTATTAGCGGACGAAGAACTGGATCAATTACAATTACAATTGGCAACACTATCATCACCTCAACAACAACATCAACAGCAAGGTCATAGGAGGAATTTCAGTATCCAAAGATTTGAGATTTCGTAGGTTCAGTACCGAGCTGTTCAACCCAATTTAACTCTTAAATGCCCACGTGCTACCAAGAACCTTTGCGATCGTTTCTTTTGTTTTACAAATGGTCTCTGGTTAAAAGTTGCTTTCTGATTGGTTCAAAATCTAAGATGGCGAAAAAAATCACGCAATGGTTCTTGGATTGTGGGTCTTTATTTAACATTTCATAAATCCTATAGTTGACCATGGATCAATGTTTGAACTCAAAACCCTCAGAATGTCAACTTTTCTTCTACTGTAGACTATCACGTCATACCTCTGACAGCCACGTGACATATGGCGCATTTGAGACCAAATCGTCTACAGGTGTGACAGAGCGCACCGTTGACTTTCTTTCGACAATTATAACATCGTGAGCTAACCTCTGA